GCCTTCCCATATAGGAGATTGATAAATACCGCCCCTGGTCATAGCGGCGCCTCATACCACTAGCAACTCGTCCGCAAAAGATTTTATGTTGATGCCAAATACACTTCATGGGGAACATATGCATTTCCGCAGCTGGGTTTGAGCATTGAAACCAGTACAGCGGTGCATGCCTTCGTTTGACGGCAGAAAAACCCAATTTACTCGCATCGCCTCGCGTATATGGGGACAAACCGAACTCATTTTTCAGTTTACATGCACGTTGGACTAGATGTCAGATTCTCATACGGAAACGCTCCAAACACCATTCTCAGTGTCAACCTTCACTCATTTACCAGTAGTACTGTTGGTCACAAAGCAATCTCTAGTTATAAGTGACTCACGATCACCGCCTGACGAGTTTCGCAAGCATAATCGATGCGGCGAAAAATGAGCACAACAAAAACGACTAACGCGACTGCCGGTAAAATAAACAGTACCCAATATGAAAACGAACAATTTAGAACTTCCTGAGCAGGTTTGCGCGATGATTGACATTCTATTTTATAAAGAATTGCACATATCACCTTTAAATGTAGAATAATATAATTTGGCAAAATAACGTTTGATTTTCAGTACTTACGCGAAACTTTGAAGTTTCAATAAGCGATAATTTATAATACTGTCAAAGGAAACGCAAAGCAAAATATTGCAATTAAGGAAGCCAAAAAAATGTTTCCCACCTGTATCTGGTACATCGGTTGGTCGCATAACACGTCGGATTTGTTCCATGTTTTGTAGATCCGGCGATAGACCACCATGACAGCAGAATATCTTTTCATCGATAAGCGCAGCAATCGGTAGACAGTTGAAGCAATCAGTGAATGTCTTCCATAGTTTTATTGAGAATCTGCGTTTACCTGGAAAACGAAAAGAACGTATGGAGATAATGGTAAACTAACAGTAAAAAGTTATGAATTCAAGAAATAGAAAGGAACAAAAATAAATCTGAGAGCGAAGCAGACAAAAACCAAATTAAAGAACAAGGAGATATGCTTGGTAAGGAAGACTAACAGATAAAATGAAAGAGCTGCCTTGTAAGATTAAAGGTATCGAAAATACCAACTTTCAATCCTCTTTCCTCCCAAAAAAAGTTAGCAAATTGGATTTTGCAAAAATAGAAACTTACATTCATCATAGAATCCATAAATCCTGTTAATGGAAGCACATTCGTGGTTTCCTCTGAGCAGAAAGAAATTTTCTGGATACTTTACTTTATATGCCAAAAGAAGACATATTGTCTGAAAAGAATGAATAGATATAAAGGCCATAGCAGATGTAAGAACAACCACAAACCTCTAAGCTTTGTTTTCCTCTGTCTACATAGTCTCCAAGAAATAGATAATTCGCCTCTGGAGGAAAACCTCCATATTCGAATAGGCGGAGCAGATCGTTGTACTGACCATGGATATCCCCTAAAGTTTTACCAAATTGTATCAACAAAAAATATACATAGGGATTTGATTATCAAACAAGGAACAGCTTTCAATAAAAAATACAAGTCGAAGTTTCCATCAGTTGGGTCGCAAATCTAAATCACTTTTTCCGCAAACTAATTGATGAATCTAATAAAGAAAAAATCGTTAGCTCATTTCAAAAATCTGCAAATAGCGGG